TTTTTTTTTTTTGTATGGGGAATCAAACTCAGGGCTTCACACTTGACAGCAGGTGCTGTGCTGCTGAGATACATTCCTGGCCTCCCAGACTTCCTTTGCACATCTCTCTCTGTGTATATGTCCCCCCCCCCCACAGGGGAGATCTATGTATTTACTGAATCACTGAGTGAGCCACAGATGCAGGGCACTTTACCTCGCAGGACTGCAGAATCGCCTAAGAACAAGCAGAGCCTGCTGTGCAACTGCAATGGTCACCTCAGGAAGCCAGACAGCATTCACTACTGTCTCCTACTCAGGCCACATTCAAACTCACCAAGTACTCCAACAACATCATATAGGTGAGGATCTTTTGTTTTCATAGTTCTTGGTTGGTTTGTTTACTTATTTATTTATTTTAGTTCTGGTTTTTTTGAGGCAGAGTATAGCCACATGGTTCAGGTTGGTCTTGCCTCATGAACTACTGTACAAGGTAGGAAGCTAAACACAGAAGTCAGGAAATGGGCAAAGCTTGTACTCCATTTCCCTCTGTCCCTTGTTCAACTCAAGGCCACACATGATCCAGGAGAAGTTCAAAGGGGTAGAGCAGGTGCAGTCCAGATGTGGACTAGCTGTTGAGAGGCATCAGGCCCAGGAGCAAAAGGGCACCAGACCCTTGAGTTCCGAAACACATATGAGGATGATGGGGGGAACCAAGGGTGTGAATTAATCCAGGAATTATATCCCACAGGATCCGGAAAGCAGAGGATGGGTCTGAGGAGAGTGAGGACCAGGAGGACAGGACTCCTCTTAGTCAGGAAATGTTGCAGTAGCAACTGATAGACTAATTCAGAGGAAAAGGAATCCAACTGTCACCAATGAGGCTGTTCTGGGAAAATTCTGGTGACTGCTTTCTGATAGTGCCAAGGAAGTGCCTAACAAATCTATTCTTTTCTTTTTTTGAGATGAAATGGACATGAAATCAATCATTTTAACTGCTCTATTATATACAATTCATGGGTTCTTAGTATATCCACAACATTGTGCAACTGTCATCACCATCTCACCCCAAAACATTATATCCTCTGAAAAAGAAACCCCATGCTGCCGGGTGTGGTGGCACACATCTGTAATCCCAGCACTCAGGTGGCTGAAGCAGGAGGATCATCATGAGTTCGAGGCCGGCATGAACTACAAAGTGAGACCTCCATCCCCTCTCTGTAGCCCCTGGCAACCATTTACCTATTGTCTATAGGGTCCTCATGTTGGACACTTCATATATGGACTCAAACAATGTGTGACCTTTTACGTCCGACTTCCTAGCAGAATGTTTTTAAGGTTTATGAATGTTATCTTTGAGTGTACAATAGACATCATTTCCAAATCCCACCCCACAGCAAAACCCCAGACCCATGATTAGCTCTGGATGCTGAGGGGCTTGCTGGGGAAATACAGGATGGAGCTGACAACCATCTCCGCAGTACTATTCAGTGTTAATTCTGATGATCCTAGACCAAGTTCTCTGGTTGGAAATTCACAACAATTTAAATGACTACAGAACATGGCAATCTCACTTGGAAACATTAGGAGCCAATCTAACTGACATATTGTACAAAAGCTTTATTTAAGGAAGCCAGGGAAATACTGGCCCAGGCTCAGGAAGGAGACTGACAGGAACAGGCAGGAAAAGAAACAAATCATTCTGAATAAGACTGTTTCTCCTTGAGATCCTGCTGGAATTTCTAGGTGGCTTTCAGGTCACAAGAAGCTGGAAAGAACTGCTGCTTATCCCCAGACTGATCAATTCAGCAGTCATAAAAACCCTTGCAAGGCCGAGTGGGTTTGTCCTGTTCCCATTCTCAAGGGAAAGGCAGTTGGCCTGGCTCTGTGGACCCATTCAACAAGCCGAGGTGCAGCCTGTATCCCATGAGATAAGTGCTGTGTGCTTTCAACAGGCCAGCATCTTGGTGTCCAGCACAGCTTCTCAGAGTCAACAGGAAAATGAGAAAGCAGTAAGTGTCCTCGAGGGCAGAGCAGTATCCTGACCAAGTAGGACACCTGCTGGCCGGCCTCCAATATTCAAATAGTTTACACTATAAAATGGAATAAGATGCTATTTTCCGACCTCAAATTAGCAAATGATTTTCTTTCTTTCTGACAATGGGCTGGGGAGAATTATGAGGATCTATAATAAAGATGGTAATTGGTACCACCTTTCTTCAGGGCAAGTAGGTCTGGCTATCAGAACCCATTTGCACTTTATACTCCCTTCTGGTCAGTAATTTCACTCCAGTGTTTATCTGTGTGTGGGTTCCTGGGGGTTGAACCTAGCTTTCATGCATGCTAAGCAAGTGCTCTAATACTGAGCTATATCCCCAGCCCTTTAAATTTTTTTATTTTGAGGTAGGGTCTTGCTAAATTACCCAAGTGATCTGAAATTTGTGATCCTCCTGCCTCAGCCTTATAACTAGCTGGGATTACAGGCATGAGCCACCGTATCTAGCCTTGCATTTTTATGAATAAAATATAAAACTTATTTTTAAATTGAAGTAGAAAATTTTATTTAGCCAGCTAGAAATCACAGGAATTGACAATTAGATACCAAAGAGAATGCAAAGAGAGCTACAAAAATGAGTTCAAGGCCAGTATGAACTACATAGCAAGACCCTGTCTCAAAATAACAATAATAATAATAATCATAACAACAATGACAATGGCGAGGAGAGGTAAGGACCTTGAGTCCCATACCCAGAGTCTGGGAAAGTAAAAGCCCTTGAACCATTCTCTTCCCCTCCCCATTCTTCTGGGTTTCTGGTGAGCCCCCTGGCCATTTCTCACAGGGGCTCTCTAAATCCACAGTCTATTAGTCAGCTTTGTGTCACTGTGACAAAATGCATCACTAGGATAGAGGCAACTTAAATGAAAAGAGGTTTATTTTAGCTTACAGATTCAGAGGCTGCAGTCAATGGTTGGTTGGCTCTACTGCTTCTAGGCCCGAAGTAAGGCAGAGTGTCATGCCGGAAGGGTATGGTGGAACAAAGCCATTCAACTCATGGCAGCTAAGGAGAGAACAGGGCAAGAACCAGAGGAGAAGGCCAGGGACTAGAAGTAGTCCCCAAGGTCATGCCCCATGGCCCCTTTCTTCCAGCTAAGACACACCTCCCAGGAGCCCAACCAGCTCCAAACCCATCAATGGGTTAACTAACGCAGATGAGGTTAGTGTCCCCCATCCAGTCACCTCTCCACGTCTCTGAAACCAGGCAAGGTGACAGTCAAGATGAACAGTTACACAGCTTTTTAAAGACCCCTCACTCTCAAGCAGATGGCTCCACATTCCATAAGTCACAGGGAGAGACCCTCGGTAGGACAGCATCATCTTCACCCGACTCTGCTCCCTCCAAACACACCAGCATGTGCACACGTTACGGAAAAAGGGATGGAGGAAGGCTCACACTTTGCTGTTAGGTCTATATGCCATGGTCCCAGGCCAAGGAAGAAAAGGACTGGAATAATCCACTAGGATACAAGATAGCTCTCAACCCACTACATTACTCAAGTGAATCAGAAAAGAGGCAGGAAGAGCCAGAATGCAGGGAACTATGAGATAAAGAAGAAATGCCACCTCAAATTCCTTATGAAAAGATATTACAAATAAATATATTTATTTTTTGTGGAGACAGAAACAGACAAGTTTATTTTTAACTGCTCTATAACTGACATATGCTAACATGCACATATTTAAAATGTACAAGTTTACTTTTGCTTTCTTGAGATAGCTGCTCACTATGTGACCCAGGCTAATCTTGACCTCAAGATCCTCCTGCCTCAGCCTCTCAAGCTGAGTGGTGGGGTTACAGGTGTGTGTCACTGTGCCTCTCTTAAGATGTGTAAGTTTTGATCTGTGTATAAGCCCAACAAAACATGACCACATTCAAGATAAGGAATGCATCACTCCCATGTTCCCTCTTGCCCGTTACTTCTCCCTCTCATTACCCCTTATCTTAGGAGGTGCAATGAAATGAAAGCTTATGTTTGACTCCACAGCTACCAAATTCATCCTATTTACCTCCCTATAAAATCTGGGTTTAGGCCGGAGATTTAGCTCAGTGGTTCCGACGCCTGCCGTGCAAGCACAAGGTCCCGAGTTCAATCCCCGGTACCAAAAAAAGAAAACTGGGTTTAAACCCCTGTTCTCCTTCCCCAGAATATGGCAGCTTTGGTCTCCAGTTTGCCCACCTTGCTCCACCCATAACACTTAATTCAGCCTCTACACACGACATCCCTGTTTAAAGTCAAATCCAAGATCCCCAATGTGCCCCACAGGATCCCCCAAGGATCTGGGTCCTGCCCCCAGCCTCATTTCTTGTTTCTTTACTCAAAGTTCAAGTACCCACCAGGTACCAAATGCGCTATGCTCCCCAACTCCTTCTGACGTCTTTCATAAGCTGTTTTCTTGGCTTGGAACAAACAACCCCCTCTCCCCAGCCCAGGAAACGCCTCCTCAACCTGCTGGAATCCAGCCCAGGAGTTTTCCAGCAGGAGTGGGTCTGCCCCTTGGAGTGAACTGACCATGTCTGTAGGCATTTTTATTGTCATGACTGAGCAAGGAGTAGGAAGAGAGAGCAAGGGGGCAGCTAAGTATCTACACAGCGGCCACAACAAAGAGCTCTATCCCAGAATGGACACAGAAAGAGACGGAGAAACCCTGATGTAATTAAACTGAAGCATCCCATTTCTGTGAAAGCTTTGCTTGCCTTCCACATTCAGTCACACACTTGCTGTCAGACTCATTCAAGTTTATCTTTACCTCAGCATTTATCTCACTTTAGGGTAAGTTGTATTTGACTGTTGCCCCCATTAAATCATAACTGCTTCAAAAGCAAACATTTTTTTGTCTAATGAGTGAACAAAAGAGAAAAGAAGGCACTATGCTCTTGGCTCTAGCATAAAAATCCTTTAAAAACAACACAAAACATGTATCTGATATAAAAACATTAGGAAATACAGACAAGCAGACAAAAACAAACAGAAAATAATTTTTTTATTCTTTTTTTGAGACCGAATCTTGATATGTAGTTCAGGCTGACCCTGAACTATGTAGCCCAGGCTGGCCTGGAACTCATGGCAATCTGCCTGTCTCAGCTTCCTGAGTGCCAGAAATACAGGTATGTGCCACCACATCTGGCCAGAAAAGAATTTTTTAAAAAAGGCAGAGACAGTCAGGCATGGCAGTGCATGCCTGTAATCCCAATATCCAGGAAGCTGAGATAGGAGGATCACAAGTGCAAGGCCATCCCAGCACTCATGAGGCTGAAGTAGAGGGATCATCATGAGTTTGAGGTCAACCTGGGCTAGTGAGACCATATCTCAAAAAAAAAAAAAAATCACAAAAAGAAAAGAAAAAAAAAAGCCAGCACACCTCACACATCAAGTTCAAGGTGAGTCTGGACTATGTATGATATCTTGTCTCAAAACACAAACAAACAAAATGCAGACACCCGAACACACATACATAAATGGCAGAAGCACCATCTAACGCTAGAAGAGATTAAACTCAAAACATAAACTTGAGAACTTGTAAAGACAGTGCTAGGATTTGCCACACAAGTCCTTTTTTTCCCTCTCTGCCCTGGAGCTTGACATAGGGCCCCGCACACGCTGTTCAAGCCCTCTCCATGAGCTACATCCCAGCCTGTGGTACAAATCTTGATGTGTACGCTCTACTTACTTGAGAACAGCAATCTCTTGAACTGTTATAGCCCTTTTATCTTTGGTTCCCATATAGGAGAATATGTTTGGCTTGACTCTGTTAAGATAGAAACAAAACAATGTGAAGTCATATACCTTAAGGAAATCATGTTTCTCATAATTTGTTTTAAAATAAATATACTTAAAATAATACTGTATCAGAATAAGAGAACAGAAACTTTTACTAATATATAATCTAGAACAGTAAATAACGTTGAACAACTCCCTTCTTAGGTGTGCTTGACTTAGAACTGATACTATTCAAAGCCAGGGCTACTCAGAAATGTAAATGATGTACTGACGTACATTCATGGACTACAAACAATTCATGAGACTACATAAAAGAGGAAATTTTAAAAAATAATTCTAGAGAATACAACACTGAAAATCTTGTATCTTCAATTTTCAAAAATAATAATATAAATTTTCCTTAAATATATGGTATTATTTTGTATTATAAAAGTCAAATGGGGCTGGGGATTTAGCTCAGTGGTTTCGCTGCCTGCTGCACAAGCACAAGGACCCGAGTTTGATCCCCGGTACCAAAAAAAAAAAGGAACCGAGTTTGATCCCCGGTACCAAAAAAAAGTCAAATGCTGAAACTGAGATCTGAATAGTTTTGTTATAAAGAACTGGCAGGGTACCATGTACTCTCTCCAGGAAGCTCATAAATAAAAGGAGCACAGAATGTCTTGTAATTAGGTTCCAAGTGTTATGGGTTAAATTGTGTACCCTCAAATTCATACAATGAACCCCTGAACCTCAGGATGTGGTCGTTTTTGGAAATAGGGCCTTTGAAGAGGTGAACAAGTTAAAAATGTGGCTAACTGGGTGACTCTAATCCAGCCTGACCAGCATCCTTATAAGAGGAGTAAATCTGGAGACACAAACATGAGGGGTACAGAGGGACGACCACGTTGAGCCAAGGAGAAGGCAGTTATCTGCCAGTCAAGGAGAGAGGCCTCCAGAAAGGCAGCTGCTAACACCTTGGTCTTGGGCCACGCAGCCTCCAGAATGGGAAGAAAATTAATTTTTGTGGGTTCAGCTACTGAGTCTGTGGCATTTTGTTATGGTTGTCCTAGCAAGTGAATATATTGCTTCCAGCTTTAAACTGAGTTAAAACTTCCAAGCACACAGATTTGCTGTGCCAGCAGCCTTTACTACTCAAAAAGCAAAACCAAGTTGGGGATCTAGCTCAGTGTTGCTGCCGCCTGCCTCGCAAGCGCAAGGTCCTAAGTTTGATCCCCAGTACCAAAAAAAAAAAAAAAAGCAAAACCAAGAAAGTGCCAGCACCTGACCCATTGTCAGAGGGCACCTTGTGCTACTTCGGTCTCAGGTTCTCCATGAAGTCAGTCTCCAGGAGCTGAAACACCCAGTCCAACTTCTGCAACCACATCAAAGTCTGGCTTTCAGGGAGAAGGGTAATTTTTTACTTTAATCTGACTGAACTGGAAACTCTCAAGTCTATGTGATTTACTTCCAGATTTTTCATCTTGAACTACTGGCAAGGGGGGAAAATTAATTCACCTATTGTCTAAGAAAACTATCACTGGGATCCATGCTCCTGCTCCTTTCTTCCATTTGCATGGACAAAAGAAATCACATTTCAGTTGCTTTGATTTTATATAGGAACAAGGACAAGACACTAACCTTAAATATTTAGACAGTACATTAATAGCATCCATGGTATCTTTGTTTTCCTTATACAGAACAAAGTGGCAGTAACTTCCCCTAGATTTTGGCCAAGAATGTTTCCTTGGATCTTAAAAACAAAAATTAAATGTTATATGTACCACCGTAAGTTATCGTTATATGGTAGAAGTTTTTTCTTTTGATACCCCGTGGAACTCATTTTGGCTATAGAACCTCTGAGTTGACAGGCTGGATCTGACCTGACAGGAAATTCTGGTTCAGTGGTTATGGCTTATGGACCACAGTGCTAAAGTCTCTGTGACTGGACACTTAACACTGGTCATATTTAAAATCAAAAGCTGACACGTAGGTGGTGTGACAAATGCTTAGGTCTAACCAATAATTTTCAGACAGCAGAGAGGAGGAGGCCCGTATGTATGACAGGGCTGACTGCTTCAGAACACAGGCAGCTCCCATGGAATCTACACACCCTGCCCTAGGGTTGCAGGCAGGCATTCACACAGACAGTAGCAGGGTGGAGGGTAAAGCCCTGAAGAGTGACCTTAGCAACAAAGTTAGATTTCCCAAAGGCCACTTTCATCAAAAATGTTTAGCTAATGTCTACAAATGGTCTAGAGATATCCACCTGTCAGAGAGAGCAGCTAGGATCCAAGACTTGATTGTCATTCCTAGGGAAAAGGAAACTAAAAAATTAAGCCATGTTAAGCCTGGCATGGTGGCACATGCCTGTAATCTCAGCACTCTGGCAGGCTGAGACAGGAGGACTGTAAATTCAAGCCCAGGCTGGGTAACTTAGTGATTTCGTGAGACCCTGTCTCAAAATTTAAGAAAAGAAAATAAATTAAGCCATGTTAAATGCTAATGTCTGAGCCAGTATTACTTCAATTGTTCAACTTGGAGACTGATACTGCACATGGGAAAATGTGATTTTTAAAACTGTTCTTTTAATTACCATTTCAATCAATCATACTGCAATCTAGAAATATACATTTAAACAATAGAAGCTTTACACTGCTGAAAGAGATTTTTGAAAATTAATACTTGGGGAAAAAAATCCATAAGCCACAGCTACACTTCCCAGATATTCATGTGTCTCGTGTGACTGAGAGTCACAGTGGTTATGTGAAGAATGTATTTAGTTTATTTGGCTTCTCTAACTCCATAGAAGAAAAACTGAAATAATATTTTGCACATTCAATCACAAAGGATCCTTTTATTTTTAAAATAGCACTTTGTCCCTAAAATAGTCTTTTCACATGAACTCATAAATCCTTTATCGTCACAGGCTTAGTATGTTCCTGGTACTGAAGTTAACTAGTTATCTGGCTTCGCCAAGGCAAAAGCACTGGTTGAGAACAGGTATGTCATTTCAGCTACAATGTAAAGAATCATCAGCTGATGCGAAGAGTCAATAAACACCTCTGAAAACTGCCATGGAATTTATGCCTGGCAAATCACTTTTCCTTCTTAATAGTGAGTCTCTTCTGTCCTGTATAGAAAAGTATCATCAATATCTCTTTAGCTCTTGGTGTGAATTACTCAGAATTCCCTCAGAAAACTGCAAGCAGAATATCATTTTTGGTTTTCCTCCCAGCTCACTATCAGTGAAGCAAAGCTGTCTATACACAGCACTTGTGATAAAATCATTGGCATTTCATTTCATCTAGACGAAACACCAACCGCTCTTACCTGCTGCAGTTCTGACCTCTGTCCAAATGCACAGCATAAAGAGCACAAGAGAGCAATGTTTAATTTATAATTATATTAAAGTGCTTTAGAGGTGAACATGCAAATGGTCGCATGGTAAGTTTGTATTGAGGGTTTCTATAGCACCTGGTAGTTATGTGGTGGGTTAACAGCCATTCAGACAGTAACAATGGGATGTTGTGGAGGCAAACAATGAACAAGCAAAAGCTCACCCACACCAGCCTCCCTGTCTCAGTCCTTGCAGTGGGCAGTCAGTTCTTGCTCAAAGCTGCACTCTGTACCCAGGGGAGGTAGAAGGTTCAAGACTGGCTATCAAATGCTTCCCCATCTAGAGATTTATCTCTTTAACTATAGTACGTAAAGACATGTCCAAGATGTTAGTAGTGATTACCTACAGTGGTGAGGCTGCAGGTAACTAGTGTTCTGCTTTGTGCTTTGCTGTTTTGAGTTTCTTGAACTGAAGTATAAAAACGTTTTAAATGTGAAAAATGCTGAATGATTATTTTGATTTTGTTGACTGTGATAATGGCTTGAAGTTTCAGTCCTTATCTGGTAAATACATACTACAGTATTTGAGTGAAATGATGTGTTATGTAGAATTTGATTTAAAATGCTCAAGCAAGGAAAAAAAGTGGGAGGGATAGATGAAACAAAAACAACAGAATGTTGGACCGGGGATGTAGCTCAGTGGCGCCGCACCTGGCTAGCAAGAGCAAGGTCCTGAGTTCAATCCCCAGTACCGCAAAACAAAACAAAACAAAACCAAGACCAAACAAAAAACAGAATGTGGATAATCTTAAAGATGGCTGAAGGACACACAGATTCCATATACAAATGAGGTTCATCTATTTGTGTGCATGTCCAAAAATGTGCATAACAAAAGGTTTTAAAAAACAAGTATAGCTACATTTCCCTTTAAGTACTAGCCCTTTAGTGCATTCACAATTAAGTACAATGGTAAAAGATAAATGAAGCCAAAAGACAGAAAATCTAATGCTATTATCCCTTAATAGAAACCATGACAACCAAGTATGAGCTCTGGATCAAAAGCATGTATCTTCTATTAACAAATCTAAATACTGATCATGCATGCAATGATCTCCTCCGCAAATAATAACTGCAAGTATTCTTTTTCTAAGTGTACTCAATAATCAAAATAGTAAAGCATTTGACAGCAATTTTTTTTTTGTACCAGGGACCTCAGGACCTTGTGCTTACGAGGCAGGCACGGTGCCACTGAGTTAAATCCCCAGCCCTTGCATTTCTACTGACTAATTGGGACATTTTGAATAACATAAAACCAGTGAAATCTCAACTTATTTTGAGCAATTTAACTTGATAAAACTCCAACCCCTAAGAATGTTATGAAGCATATGCTTAGCTTTACCATTTAAATGAACTTAAAGACAATTTTCAAACATTTTTGAGACATTCTGATTATAATACAAATGCAAAGCATTTTTAGGCTGGGTAATGTGCTTCCTATTTCCAGAAGACTGCTTCCATTTCGTGAGGGCTTGACACGGCAGCCCTACTCTAGGAGAAAAGGAAGCCATGTTCAGGAAGATTCTCGTATCAAGTACAGAAATGCCCATAAATACAATGAGGAAGGAAAGATGTGTGTAGCCAGGGGATGACAGAAGAGTGTAGCATGCAGCACATTCTTGGCTTCTCATTCGAGGTCTTTCTCACCAGCACATTTGCACACCAACCCTTCAGCTTCCTCAGGGATACTACTCCACCCATTATCTTTATTTTATTGCTCTCCTGAATTTTTATGCTCCCTTTCCAATGGCTCTTTCATTGCAGTTTATAAATATGCTCAGGGTCCTTCTATCTTAAAAGCCAAATCGTTGTCCTCCTCTCTTTAATTGCTGTTCTCTTCCTTTCTCCTCTTTACTGCTTACCTGCAAAAGCCACCTGTACATAGTGCCTTCCACCTCAACCTACTGTGTAGAATGGTGAATCTGTGTCAGAGTTCCTATCTTGCTGGACCTCTCTGCAGCATTTTCCAATGTTGACCACTCTGATTACAGGGGCTCCCTACTCCTCCGGATTCTGGAACAGCAGTCACCCCAAGAGCCTTTCTGTACCAGCCAGACTCTTCCTACTGAGTCTGTGGATCTCTAGGCCTAGGGTTCCCTCCTGGAATCATTCCTTTTGAAAAGTACAGAGAACCAATATCTGTCACAGAACATAATTTTTTTTTTCAAAAAAAAGAACTTAAGTCTTCCAAAACAAGTTCTCAGAAATATTTGGAATATATACTATCTCAAAATGTAAATTAATTTACCTGTTCATGTAATGTTGTATGTAATAGTTATACAGTGCTTTCAGAAAACTACAATGGGGGCCGGGGATTTAGCTCAGTGGTTCTGCCGCCTGCCTTGCAAGCGCAAGGACCCGAGTTCGATCCCCAGTACCAAAAAAAAAAAGGAAAACTACAATGTAGGTATGTTTTGGTACACAAGGCGATGAGTCCCATCAGGCTGGTTTAACACTGAAAAAGTGCCTGAATCTAAGTAGGTGGTTATTTATTTGGGCATCATGACTTATAAGCTACCACACCTATGTTTTAAGATACACAGGAAAATAGGGGTTAAGAATATTGCAGATCTATCATGAGAAAATCAAATAGTACTCTCAAATCCAACAGTGCTGGCATGGCTGTGGCAAGAAAGGAGCCCACCTGCATTGTCCATGGGAATGGAAACTACTACAACCATTATGGAAATCAGTATGGAGATTTCTCAAAGACATGAAATTAGAAATTCCCTATGACCCAGCTATTCCTTTAAGTATTTTCCCCAAAGAGATTAACTCATCACACTACAACAATACTTGAAATCCAATGTTTATAGCAGCACAATTCATACAGCTAAATCCTACAGAAGGATCCATTAGCAGATGACTGGATATACAAAATGTGGTACTATATCTATATATAATGGAATACTACTGTTATAAATAATGACAAATTTGAGGCATTTGTAGGAAAATGCATACACCTAGGAAATATAATATTGAGTAAAATAAATCAGATACATGAGCTTAAACACCATATGGCATCTCTCATTTGAGGGAAAGTACAAACAAAGAAAATGACATAGGATGGATAGAAAGGGACAAGGGGACAGATCTCGTCCAATAGGGAAGTGATCCAAGGGAACAAGGATGAGGGGAAGGGGAAATGAGAGGATGCCACGTACAGCATCCTAATAACTCCAATCAATGTAAACACTACATGTCATAACATAAGTGAAGACAAATAATATCAACAAGTATGAAAAAGGTGATGGGAAACCAGAGAAGGGAGTGGGGAAGGGGAGGGGGAGAGAAAGGAAAGAGGATTAGGAAAAAAACAAAAAAACAAAAAACCAAGCCATAAAATACACATGTACGCACTCCCCAAGATGACTGTAAACTGCACGGATTACAAACATGTACTAATAAAATTTTTTTAAAAAGCAAAAAAAAAAAAAAAAAAAAATCACAATTCTGCTCAACAAGCATAACCCATCAACAACAATTTATATCAGGGTTTGATAGTAAATGAGCTTGAAAACATCACAAATTATAACACTCCAGACCGAGACCTTCAAAGCTAGGCAAAGCACCCACACTGCTTGCTACTGGGTTTCACTGCAAGGCCAAAACAGCAGTCTCCCAGCACCAACTCGTCTCCTTTCCTAGCCGCTCACCTTGTGCCACTCTCAGCTGGCCCTGGAAGAGGGGAGCAAGGCCCCCAACTGTGTGGACTAAGAGGGACTAACGCTCAGCCCTCCCACAGCTCTACACAAAGTCCCCCTTCTTTTTTGTTTTTTATTTAATTTATTTTTTTTGGTACCAGGGATCGAACTTGGGTCCTTACACTTGGGAGGCTGGCGGCAGAACCACTGAGCTAAATCCCCGGTCCCCCTTTTTTTGTTTTGAGACAGGGTCTCGCTATGTAGTCCAGCTGGCCTTTGAACTCACTACGTAGCCCAGGTTTGTCTTGAACCTTTGGCAATACTCCTGCCTCAGTCTCCCAAGTGCTGGGATTACAGGCATGTGACACCACGCCTGGCTGGGAAAAGGATTTAAAAAAAAAAATGGAAGGAAATAACGGAAACAGAGCTTTTGTAAATGGGGAACAGAAGAAGGGCTGAGGGGAGGGGAATGGGAAAAAAAGTAGTTAAGATATATTATGTACAAATTTTGCATGATGAATGTGATCATTATATAAGGCAAACATGTACTAATATTTTATTTTTAAAATTTTTTTTTATTTTTTGGTACCGGGGATTGAACTTGGGTCCTTGCGCCTGCACAGCAGGTGGCGAAACCACTGAGCTAAATCCCCGGCATGTACTAATATTTTAAAATAAAGGTAATAAAAATCTCTGGAATGGAAAGTAAAAGAAACAAAAGAAAAAAAGAAAAGGGGGCAGAAGCTCTGGGCCACCTTGTCCTGCAAACCCCCGCTCCAAGACCTGGTATCCCCTAAGAAATGAAGATCATTTCTAAGAAGCAACCAGTTCAAAATAAAACTCTGTCTCTTCCTCACTGCCACAATGCAGACCAGCAAGGTGGCCTCCCCCTGGCAGAGACCTCCCTCCAGCCTTCTCAGCAGGACTCCGGGACAGTGAGCCATCCAGGGCACCACCATGTGGGTAAGTCACCTGTTCCCTCTATAGCCACCATGGCTACTGCTCATATGCTGTCCTCAGGGAATTGAAAAACAGCTGCCAAAAACGATTACCACAGGGCTTATTGCTCTCTGGGCAACCCTGGCTGCAGAAAGGCTATCTATCAGGTGCAATTCTATTCTGTGGTAATAAGGATGCACACAATAACCATCAGCTTGCAGGCTGAAGAGTGATGAAGAACTTGTGCCCCAAGCACTGAACAGCACATCATCACACTTTTCCTTAGGAGAAGTGGTCTCCAAACTGCACCTCCTCCTCCCCAACTCCTCAAGGTTTCTTATTTCTGAAGATGATTTTCTTGGGGTTAGTTACCTTACTCCAGCTGCCTGTTTTCATAGAATCTCATGGTTGTAAACAAGGCTTCAAACCCAGGAGTGGTGGTGCACACCTGTAGTCCTAGCATCCAGAAGGCTGAGGCAGGAGGAGTATCACAAGTTTGAGGCCAGCCTGCGCTACGTAGCAAGACCATGTCTAAAAAACCAAAAATAGGGGCTGGGGATTTAGCTCAGTGGTTCCACCACCTGCCTCGCAAGCACAAGGTCCCAAGTGTGATTCCCAGTACCAAAAAAACAACAACAAAACCCCCACAAAACTAAGTAAATAAACAAGGCTTCATTCATTTACAGTATTACCTTTTAAATTAATCTAAAAGAATACTGACAGGGGACAGGGATTTAGCTCAGTGGTTCTGCCGCCCGCCTCGCAGGCACGTCCTGAGTTCAATCCCCCGGATGGATTGATCTTGTTATACAGCCTTGGAGTTCTGCTCTAACAAATATAATAATTAATTACTAATAGGAATCCTCACTGGTAGAGGAGGAAAATAAAGAAAATAATAAAAGGAGCTGAGGATGCAGCTTACTGGCAGAGTACCCCTGGGTTTGATCCCTAGTACCAGAGAAAATAAAACTTTCTCTGCTGATTTGATAGGAAATAGAAGAAACATTACCTCATTTTTCTTAAGGTTATATGTAAACAGAAATTTCCACGGCTGTAGAAAGCACATGAGAACATAAATATCTCAGTGATCCACAAATGAACAATACACTGAAAGATGTGCTCAGGTGAGGGGCCATCTTTCAAAATATTCCACATATTTTCTGTGTGAGTGAAGAAGATACTCAGAGCTGGAAAGCAGAAGCAGGAACTGACTATACCCCCGGGATAGGTGATGGGCATTTTTATTCATCTGAAAGCTTTCTCTCCTCCATTAAGAACAGAGATGAGCAACAATCCTTCCATTTCCTTCTTGAATTGCCACTCAGCCATTCTGCCCTTCAGGGAACACATCACACTCCTAACCCCAGGCACCGGTACCATGTCCACAAATCTTACTCACAGGGAAGGCTGGATGCCCCCACCACAAGGAGACTGCGGATGGCTCTGGCATCTGAAATGACAACAGGCACCCTCTCTGAAAGAGTGACATGGTCAGTGCCCTTCTCCGCACAACAGCATGGTAGCTGAGGAGGAGCAGCCAGGCAGAGGAGAAGTGGGCCTGCATCCTGCTGCAGTGAGTTACTCTGCTGCTGGAGAAAGTGGGCACTGACACACTTACTTGCCAAGGCCTTTTTCCCAGCTGCATGGTAGGCCACGATGTATTTCCTCCCTGCTCTGTCCTCTGTTTTTGTCTCTAGTCCAGGAAACAAAGATTTTATGGCTTGATGGATGATAGTTCTTTTCTCTTTGGTGTCCTCAATAACCTATTAAAAACACACAGTGACACTTCTATTTTAATAAAAATAAATAGAAAAATGACAGTGGATTAGTAAAAACAAAGCTCATCTTTTTCAGTAAGCAAAACAACAAAAGTGCCTGGGTACAGCTTTAGACTATTTGAGAGCTTCATGAGATGGCAAATTCTAAGGGCCCATTGATGGAGCATGTCCACCTGCCAGCCCCATACCGGGCACTTTAGTCACTGTTGTATGGAATCCTCACATTCTCACTGCCACACCACTGATGTCTCTATTCACAGATGGGGATAGCAAGGCTGAGAAGCCATGGGATGTGTCTAAGGCTGCAGAGTTGGAGGGCAGAAGAGCTCGATTTGAAGCCAAGCTGCTGGACTCAGGGCCACCAGCCCCAGATGTTCTCCTGGTGCCTCTGCTGGGCAAAGGCCTTGGGGCTTGCAAATAAAAACAGAGGCACTTGCCAGACTTGCCAGGCCCTGGGCAAGTCACACACTCAATCCTGTGGACACTCTTGTCTACAACTGCCTCATGCTGGATTTTATTCTGTTTGCTTGTTTGAGACAGGGTCTTACTATGCAGTTCAGACTGGCCTTAAAGTCACTATATAGCCCAGGATGGCCTGGAACTCACAGCAATCCTCTTGCCTCAGCCTCCTGACACCTGAGGTTACAGGTATGTGCCACCATGCCCAGCTTGACACTAGATTTTATTCAATACTAAGTTGTTTTATAGTGAGATTCTAACACAGTGGTTCACAATAAAGAAAAATCAATGTAAACAAAATGTACACTTGTACAACTTTTTCAATTTTAGAGGGCATCTCACACTAAAAAACTCTACTACTCAATAGCACAAATGGCTGTATACAGTATTATAACATTTTTTGCAGCTGAGTATGATGGTACCAACCCTACAATCTCAGCACTCTGGGAGGTTGAGGCAGGAGGACTGCAAATTTCCCAGGCTGGACAATTTAGTCACTTAGTGAAACCTTGTTTCAAGATTAAAAAGGGCTGGAAGGGCTGGGGATTTAGCTCAATGGTTTCGCCGCCTGCTGCGCGAGGGCAAGGACCCAAGTTCGATCCCCAGTAGCAAAAAAAAAAAAAAAAAAGGGCTGGGCATATAGTTCAGTGCAAAGGTCCTGGGCTCAATCTGTAGTACCACAAACAAACAAATAATGCTGATGCTATATTCAATGCATGGGTATTTTCTATTTTATTTATTCCATTAAAAAAATGTTGATTGTGATAACCACTAATTTGATTTCAAGGCCTACTAATAGACAGGGTTCAAGCTAAAAACACCAAGATAGACTATAACCATTACTGGCTAAAAAACTTGATAGTATTTTAATATAATAAAAATGAAGAGAAAAACAAACTGCACCCTAACTACAGACAAATGATTTTATATCAGCAGGTGAGTCTGGAACTGAAACTGCTGATATAATCAGTTAGAATAATAGTTTGCATGTACGAGTATATATTTATTTTAATTTTTATTTTGGTACTGGGGATTGAACTCAGGACCTTGAGCTTTCGAGGCAGGCGGTGGAACCACTGAGCTAAATCCCCGGCTGAGTATATATTTAGATGGCAAAAATTCAGAAAGTCCTTCCTTCTTACTTTATAGATGAGGAAACCTGGCCATAGTTTTTGCCCTTTAAAACTCAAAACTTAGCTGGGCATAGTGACTCACATCTTAGGCGGGGGCAGGACTATAAGTTTCAACCTAATCAGTTTAATTAAGTGACTGAGTGAGACCCTGTCTCAAAATAAATAAAAATTTTTAAAAGGAATGGAGTGCATTCAGTGTGAAGACCCTGGGTTCAATACTCAGTACTGAAAAAAAAAAAAAAGATAAAACTGAGGCAGGCATGGTGGTATACCAATCCCAGTACTCTGGAGGCTGAATCAGAGATATAGCTGAAGAGTTCAAGGTGAGCCTGGGCTACATAGCAAGTTGAAAGCCAGCCTGAACTACATAGCGAGACTGACTCAAAAACCAAAACCAAACCAAACCAATTCCCCAAAATTGTACAAAATGTGAAACTGGGGCTAGGGATTTAGCTCAGTGGCACTGCACCTGCCTTATAAGTGCAAGGTCCTGAGTTCGATCCCCGGTACTGAGAAAAAAAGAATGTGAAATTAATATAAACGTAAAATTCTAAAAATTTTCTTAATCCAGACAAACGACATGGAGCTGTCCTGCCTAGTATGTCAGGCATCAGCCATGGAGAACCTGAAATGTGGCTCCTCTGAATTGAGATGTGGTATCGGTGTAAAATAACTCTGGATTTTGAAGACTTAGTAGGGAAAAAAGGAAGGTAAAGCATTTCAGTAATTTTAAAACATTGATTTCATATTAAAAGGGTAGTATTATTAATGTATTAAATAAAATATACTTTCCACCTCACTCCAGAAAGAATAGCTGCTATTAAGATATCAACCAACAACAAATGCTGGTGGGGTTGTGGGGAAAAAGAAACTCTTCTCTGCTGTTGGTGGGAGTGTAGACTGGTGCAACCATTGTGGAAATCAGTATGGAGATAACTCAAAGAACTAGGATTATATTTCTCATTTGACTCAGCTATTCCCTGCTGGGTATCTTCCCAAAAGAATTAAAAGAATCATACCATAAATAAAATATACTATGGAACTTAATTTCTTTTTTTTTTTTTTTTACTTTCCAAAGAGACATGGATACTTGAAAGGAGGATTTAAGAAAAATAAAAAGAATTAAGATGTGTTATGTCCATGTACCAATAACTCTCAGTGAATATACTTATAAACTTTTTTTTTGGTACCAGGGATCGAACTTGGGACCTTGTGCCTGCGAGACAGATGATGGCACCACTGAGCTAAATCCCCAGTCCTACTTATAAACATTTTTTGGCTTTTTTTTTTATTTGGTACTGAGGATGGAACTTGGGACCTTGTGCTTGCGAAACAGGAGGCGGCACCACTGAGCTAAATCTCTGGCTTATAAACATTTTTTAAAAATTAAAAAAAAAAAACACGGATACTAGAAACTTAAAAATCTGGGCACGAGGGTGGAGCTCAGCAGTGGCACATGTGCCTCCCCTCCCACTGGAGACGGAGAAGGTGCAGAAGTCTTCTAACCAGGGCCACGCCTCTGTCCCACTGCAGCAACAGAACTGTCATGCTATGGTTCTAAACAACAGATTTCATTCCTGATTTATGGACATAAAAAATTCTTTTAAAAACAAAACATAACATTCTCTCTTGCTATACTTTATTTGGATACTGGTTTCTGGCCCCTGAAAAAAAGATATTTGTTAGTACAATGTCTTTTCAGATCAAACAGGGCAAAGTTACACTTTTGTTAAACTCTATTAATTTTTTAATGGACAACTTTTTTCTTTTGGTTTTTTTGAGACAGTCTCACTATGTAGTTCAGGCTGGCCTTGAACTCAAAGTGATCCTCCTGTCTCAGTCCCGAGTACTGGGATTATAGGCATGGGTTACCATGTCCAGCTGGACACTTATTAATATTCACCTGAAAAGAAGATATGTCTTTTGCACCACTTACCTCGATGGCAACACTGGTTTCTTTATTTTTAAAAAGCTGGAGTTCCTCCAATTGCTGTTTTTCTTCGGTTGTCAAAACCATAAATACATCTTCTGAAGGATCCTTTAAATTAACCACATTATGTAAGTCACACATAATTCAAGGACACAAACTCTATTTCTACACAGAAAGTAACTTCTGCTAGAGAGCTAATTCTACCTCCTCATCCACTGGAACAGACAAGTCATCCAGATGGCTGATCTGCCCATCTTTTCCTATTTCATGAACAATGAAGTCAGAGTATCTGATAAAAAGAAAACACAAATTTTCAGGGAATTGACACTTTACTTCTTTTCAATTTTAGGATAAAGCACATCACCAGTACAAGGGATTTTAGAAGCAATCCTCAGTGTAAAGTCATATTAAGTTTTTGGTTTTTAATGACTTCTGGGCCACATACAGTTCAGGTTTTTTGGTATTTTCCCCCCACCTAGTTAGTACTAGGGAGTTAACTAGGGGGTACACTAAGCTATATCCCCAAGGCGCCCCCCCTTTACTTTGAGAAGAGATCTCATTAAGTTGCCCATGCTGGCCTGAAACTTGCAATCCTCCTGCCTCAGTCTCCTAAATAACTGGGATTACAGGTGTGAACCATCACTCCTGGCTTAGTACAGGTTTTATACTAGAAGCTTCTAGAATATCCTAGAAGAATACTAAGAAATGTATAAATAAAAGCTTATTAATGTTAGCCTGAGATCAGATAGTCCATATGGAACTGAATCATAAAATGTAGAAAGTATAGTAAATGGCTAAATCAGACCCCAAAGAGTCTACTGTGAGCTACCCTGAAGCTTACTGCTGCTAAATACTTTACACATATTTTTTACAATCTTCTCAACAACTCCACCATGGTACCTTGATCCATTTTTTGGATGTGGATACCCAGGCTCAGAGGAGTTAGGTATTATTAAATGGCTGAGCTAGAGTTACAGCCAGATCCATTTGGCTCCAAAGACTACCTTTTTTCTATTGCAGATGTGGTACACTCAAGTGAGAGAGTTTTAAGACTGTAAAATGAATTCAGGAGAAAACTTCAAACTGTTCAAATGAATTTAACAAAATGAACAGCATCCACCTGCATAGTAACAGTGCACATTACAGGGAAATTATTCTTATATACTTAAACAGTTCTGGAAAGATTCTCCCTTTGATAATAACTGGCTATGATTTTTATTTAAAATATTAGGGCCGGGGATTTAGCTCAGTGGTTCTGCCACCTGCCTCACAAGTACAAGGTCCCAAGGTTGATCCCCGGTACCAAAAAAATTATAATAATAATAAAATATTAAAAAATGTAATTGGGGCCGGGGATTTAGCTCAGTGGTTTCGCTGCCTGCTGAGCAAGCACAAGGACCCGAGTTCAATCCCTGGTACCAGAAAGAAAAAAAAAGAAAAAAAATTTAAAAATGTAATTGGACATGGTGGTACACCCCTGTAATCCCATCACTTGGGAGGCTAAGGCAGGAAGAACACTATGAGTTCGAGGCTAGCCTCAGCTACAAACTGAGTTTAAGGCAGCCTGAACAACATAGTGAGACCTTGTCTCTCTCAGTCAATCAGTCAGTCAGTCAATCAATCAATCAGACCATTCAGCCATTTAGGCAGTTCTCTACTCTATTCCTCTCTGACCATAAGTTGATCCTTGGAGTTAGAAGGCTAAATGGAAAAAAACCTGTACTGCTGATTTCTTGCCAAAGAAAGAAACTAATACAATTAAATAACCTTATATATAAACTAAACATACCTTTCTTTTAAGATCCCTGAGAATCCTTGATGAGAACTTACAAACTTGGTGATGCCCACATCAAGCTCAGTGAGTCCATGCTTCATCATCTCTGCAAAGCTCTCTGCTTCCTCTTCCTCTCCTTCCTCTGAAAAACCATCTTCCTCTTCCTCTTCCTCTAGCTGGGCACCGGAATTCTTTTTACCTTTCCCGGCACTGACGACTTCTGGTGTCTTGGGCTCTGTTTCACTGGTGGGTAGACAGTCACTGTCTAGCCTATCTCCATCTTTGGGCAGACAGCATTCCGAGACCTTTTGTTTTTTTATCTCCTCAGCTGGGCCCATGCAGTCGTTACCTTCGACCACAAGGTACCCACGTTTTAGGGACACGCCAGTCATTTCCATCTTTGAGGCTCCAAGAAAACATTTAAGAGAACCTTTTAGGAAGGAGAAAAGAACAGAAGTAACAATCACCTATATAGAAGCCGGTTTCAGCAAACAGACACGAAGTTAACTTTGTTCAGGGGGTTCTAAAAGTCATTTATTAAAAATGCTTCCTGGGCCGGGGATTTAGCTCAGTGGTGCCACTGCCTGCCTCACAAGCGCAAGGACCTGAGTAAAAATATGTATGTAATTTGATCCAGAAATAACTCTTTTAGTGATCTATCTTAAGAAAGTAAGATCATCCTTAAAGCTTTAGCAATATGGATGCTCATTTCACTTCTTATATAAGCAAAAATTATGACCAACAAGGCCTGTGTACATAAACCAATCAATACGTACACAGCTAGAAACTGGGAAAGGTGGTTACTTCTAGGAGAGTGTTTAGGTGCCTGGGGACAGTGGTGAAAACTAGGTATTGTCATTGAATACCACAGCTGAGCTATTTCAGTTCTATTTCACATATACATACTATCCTCTCATAAAATGATGAAACACAGTAGTGTATAAATGCAACTGCTGACATGAGCACACACTCATACCACACCACAGCTAAACACACAAGAGGCTGGGTGTGGTGGTGCACACCTGTAATCCCAGCTACTCAGGTAGCTGAGGCAGGAGGACAGTAACTTAAAAGCCTGCCTATGCTACTTCATGACTGTCTCAAAATAAACTGGTCTGGGGATCTGCTCTGTGATCCCTGAATTCAGTCCTCAGTAACACACACACACACTGAATTTTGATTGGAAAACAATGTGAATATACTTAACAATACGGGGCCATAGATTTTAAAAAGGTAAAGGTGGTAAATTTTATTATATGTATTTTATCACACACAACAAAAAAGTTTATCATGTAACCGGCCCACGCGCCAAGTAGTGAGTAAAAGTTTAAAAAGCCATACATACTTACCAGTTCAGAGCAGCTCAAAAGTGGGGTAGATGAATGCCAATCAAAAGAAGTGTGTCCTGGACTGGGAGTGCAGCTCAGTGGCACAGCACTTGCCAAGCACACACAAGGCCCTAGAGGTTCAACATCCAACACCCCCACTAAGTATCCAAGACCTCCCATACCTAATTTGATCTCATTTGACATGCTTGATGAAATAAGACAAAAGTTTTGCCTATTTTTATTATAGAGAGATACAAAAAGGAATAGACAAATGAACATCATAAAGTTCCATAAGAAAACATACATGAGCAGAAAATGAATATTCTACTTCTCCAAGGCATGGTTAACAAAAATCCACCTATAGAAGCATCTAGAGCAAAATAATAATAATGATGATACTAATGAACTCAATTTTAAGAACTCATATTTGGTCTTGCCTCATTGGCAAAAATCAAGAATGGAAAGAAAAGTTTAAAAAAAAGACAAATACATGTGAAAAGTAAAACAAAAAAGAGAATTATGATGACTACAAATAAAATAAAAAGTATAGAAAAATGTCAGCACACTCTGGAAAGTTATGGCAGGAGAATCACAAGTTTGAGTCCAGCCCGGGCAACTTAGTGAGACCCTGTCTTAAAATAAAAATAAAAAAGGGATAAGGTTTTCCTTAGCGCAAAAGTTCTAAGTTCAATTCTCAGTACCAAAAAAAAACCAACGTAAAACATTTCCTTTAGGGGTGGGCATTTAGCTCAGTGGCACCAGGCCTGCCTCACAAGTGCAAGGTCCTGAGTTCAATCCCCCATACCGCAAAAAAAAAAAAAAAAAAAAAATTCCTTTAGGGCTGGGTATGTGACTCAGTGGTAGAGTGCTTGCCTAGCATTCATGAGGTACTGGGTTATATGCTTAGCACTGCAAACAAACAAGAAAGACACCAATATCAACTTTCTTTGAAAGACAAAAATTAAAGAAAATTTAAGAAACCCAAAAAGAAAAAATCGAAACAGAAAAAGACTATATAACCAGTTACATAAAATGATCTATGATTCAAGTAAGAAAGCATTAACTCTTTATCCTAAGTAAGGCATAGTTCAAAAGAAATGCTAATTTATGAAATGTGATACTCTCACTTTATAACAACAAAGCTGCCTACAGAGTTTGTGCACAAATGGAGACACTTATTTAAAATTAAAATTTAACTAAAAAATCAACAGAGGATCATTTTAAATGGCCCATGAACAAGGTACTGAGCAAACGTACAAGGAACCAGGGCTAACAAGGGGACTGTGAGGACAGAGCAGAAATCTGAGGAGGGAGGGTCAGCGTCAGAGCAAACCTAATGAAAGACGAGATATGAACACCTGAGCCAACTTTCAAAGCTGGAGGAAGAGTAAGGTGTGGGAAGGTAGAGAAGATATTTGAGGTAAAGGCCATAGCATGTTCGAAGGCAGGAGTGTGGAGGACAGGGAACCCTGGCAAAACCCAAACTGTTCCTCCTCAATGTAGAGGTGAGTCTGAGGGAAAGCCAGGCATGTGAGCAAGAGCTACACCAGGCTATGTGGATGGAATTACAGTATACCCAGAAAACCAAGCCAGTGTTAATTTTCTCAGTTATAAAAAGGCTTCATGGTACCCTTTGAAAAGAAACTGGGGTCAGGCTGGAAAACCAGATATGAGGGTACAGCTACACACTAGGCAAAAATTCTGTACAACTTCAAGGCTGACTCAGAGGGGAAAGAGTGAAAAGACATTCAAGAACACTGGGAACTTCTAGGGACAAGACTGGGAAACAAGGTAGTGAAAAGACAACCATGCCAGGAGGACTCAGTTTTTCTGCCTTGGGGACCTGAGGGAACAGTGGAATTCTCTGTGATATGGGAATCTCAGAAACAGGGGCAGGTGGTGGAAAAGATGAGCCACTTGCAGTCCAGTTGCATCCACGTAGCTGAGGAGCACCCAAGTAGAAATGTCCTGTAGGGAGTCACCACATTGCATCACATACCTTCACGCAAACCCCATACCGGCTCCCCAGTGACAACACAAGGTCCCCAGCTGCATGGCAGGATCTAGCAGGTCTTGATACCCTTCCTGAGGTCAGAATACTAAGCTACGAGGCAAGCATGCAGCCTGGCTCAGGACCTTTATAGTCAAGAGTCCACCACTGCTATGATTTAGATCTAAAATATCCCCCAAATGACTCGCACGCATGAGCGAGCGTGCCTGTGTGCGAAAGGTGACTGGATCACGAGGGTACCACAACTAGCTGACTTACTGTTAGGAGGTCAGAGCTCCCACAAGGCCTCCTCTCTGCTCTCTCTGTGTCCTGGCTACCATGAGGTGAGCATTTCTTTGACAAGCCCTCCCCATAACATTTCTGCATTTGAGCTGGCTGACCATGGTCTGAAACTTCTAAAATGTGAGCCAAAATAAACCTCTCCTCTTAAAATGTGGGTGTTGGGTATTTTGTTCAGTGATAAGAAAGTGACTAAGACAACCATCCACCCCTTATGCCAAAAAAAAAAAAAAATCAGGCCTTACCCCAACTTGGAGCCAGATCTAGGTTTTGCCATTTACTAACTGGATCATTAACCTCTCTAAGCCTCAGGTTCTTTGTCTGTTAAAAGTGAGATAATGTGGCCAAAGGTCTGTAATAACTTCTCATCTACTGGCCACTAGTATTTATCATGGATGGTTTACACAGAACTCTGCTGCTGAGTCTGGGGAAGAAATTAAAAGGCACTTCTTATGCTCCTCCTATTTTCTAGGCTAATGTTAAACATGGTTTAATGTTAAAATCATTTAATTTCAAGAGACTTCCAAAACACTGCCCATAGCACCAAGTAACAGGTCTTTAAGCTTGTAGTTTTTTCTTGATATTTGTAGACATCTGTCTGATCTTTTTTCTTGATATATTTAATTGCAAAAATAAGCTTATTAACTACATATTCTCCTTTGTATTTCAAATAAAACTGTATTTTTCATTTAAGTCAATGTTCTCTACCACACAAATTATTATATTATATTTTCAGCACCAATGACTGTAAACCACTTAATATGTTTTGTTCATTTCAATCCTGTGGGCCTAGAAGCTGAGAATGTATTTTCTAGAATAGCTGTGCAAAATTCTGGATTCAGAGTAAAATGCAAAAATCAGTATAGTTTTCATAAGCAGGAACTATTAGGAAAACAGAAAATAAAATATATTTTTCAAATTGGGGTGAGGTGGGGAGGAAAGGTGATCTTGCGAACCTGGAAGAGACCTAATATCAGTTCTGCATTTAGGAAAATCCAAGGATAATATCCAAGCGTTCAACCTCGAGGATACGAAATGACTTTAAAAATGAGGATTTTTTTTTTCCCCAAAAGAAATGGTATGCTACACACACTATCCATGATAGTAATAACAGCATCTTAACTGTCAAATAATCTCTGAGAAGAGGACTTGATCCACTAATTTCCATGAGGTTAAAGTCCTGCACACTTCTTTGGAGGTAATACCAAAGCCATGTTTTTTGTTTCCCTTCACATTTCTTTTTTCTTTTTCCCTTCACATTTCAAATGAGCCAAGTGAGAGTAGAAGTATTACAATTTTACCAGTATTTAAAAATCTTTTCCATTCCCCGGTACCAAAAAAAAAAATCTTTTCCATCCAAAACTGCTATACAGATTTAATGCAATGCCAATTGAAATCCCAACAATATATTTCACAGAGCTAGAGAAAACAATCCAAAAATTCATTTGGAACCAGAAGAGACCTAGAATAGCAAAAGCAATTCTAGGCAACAGGAA